GGGGCCGGGGAGGGGGAGCGGAGGAAGCACCGCAGCCTATGGGAGCGGGGCCGGGGCGGGACCCGGCGACGACGGTCGGGCGCTGGGCTGTCCCCGCCGCTCGCCTGATTCCAGCAGGCGCGCCCTGGGGCAGCGGGGCAAAGGAGTGTGAGGGCAGGAGAGACGTAGAGGCGGGTCGCTTGATAACGGGAGGTAGCGCATGGGGCAGGACTGAGTGAGGGGGGAGAGCGAAAGGACAAGCAGGAGCGCTAGATATCTGAAAGGGAGGGCTTGTTTCTCTTTGCACTCGCCCCATCCTACCTTACCCCAGAGAGCTGCGACTAGCTACAGGCCTCGCTGCTGGGAACTACGCTTAGCTTTCTTCGCAGGGCGCCCCTGTGTGCTGGGTTACATGCCAGGCGAAGCCGCAGTTGCAATTCCCCTTTACAGCCCGGCGGTTGCATCGTGTTTATGCATCGGGTGCATTCTCACTGCTTGGTCAGTGGCAAGTGAGTCACTGCAATCCCACTCACCAGCCTGCTGCCGCCCCCCGTGGGGACACCTGCGTGATCAGCTGGCAGCCTCTGTAGCATCACTGTGCACAGACTGGGGGGCAAGAGAGAGGCGCCTGCTCTGGGGATGGAGGTTTTGAGTTAACTGTTGGGATTTCGCTCTGGGACACATAACTCAGCAAACCCCTCTGCGCCGGTGTTTGGAGCGGAAGAGCCTAAACACGCAGCAATCCCCAGCCTACTCCACATCTCCAGAGGGGAACCAACACACACCAAGGGGGTGGGCAGAGCCAATGGGCACCCGGCGTAGCGCGGCCTCCTCACGCCTCCCCAGTGGGAAGAACTGGGGTCGGCGAGGCCACGGGGGACCCGAGCAACCACTTCCAGCACCTGGGGCAGCACCAGGAGCTAGGTCTGGCGGAGGGTGGGTGGGACACGAAATCGCTGCCCGCTCCTGTAGGAGCGGAGGTTCCGGGCACCGCTAGGGCAGGGAGGGTGAGGCGGCGGCAGCACTTAAGAGTACGCGCCGCCCGCTTCCTTTCTAGCTCCGGCTTGCTCCGCCCCTCCCGGGGTCCTCGCAGCGCTCGCCCCGCAGCTCCGCCCCTCGCTCCTCCCTGTCCTCAGCCGCGAGCAGTAAACGGGTCGGGCCTGCACCTGAGCTACTACTGCGCCGGTGTCGGTGGCCTAGCGGGGGCGGCGTCGCATCGCCCTTCTTCCTGCCGCCGCCATGGAAGAGGACCTGGAGCTGGAGAGGTGAGAGGCCGGGGCGCGTGTTCCCGGGCACCGAGACAGGGCCCGCTGTGAGCTGCCGCGCCTGCCTGGCGCAGTTGTTCCCTTCCCCGGCCCACTTCAGCACCGGGAGATGGGGGCAGAGGTCAATGCAGGGATGAAGAGTTAGAAGGGTGGGGGGCGCCTTATCTAGGCAGATCCCTCTTCAGTTTTGAAAGTTTACTTCTGTACCCGCCCCTTGACAACTCCCTGGTGGGATGATCACTCTTGTGCCAGGCCTCTGGGGGACGCAGCCCCAGGAAGGGCTAGTGCTGGACTCAGTAAGAGGCCCATTAGTTATGTCGGTTCCCTCCTTAGACTGGCAGAGGCCGAGCTAATCTTCCTGATTTAGAGCCCGTCTGCTGGATCTGTTGTGGGGCATGATATAAATTATCTGCTTCAACAGGTAATATTTGTAGTGCTTCGGGACCATTAGAGAGCCTTTACAAGAGAAGTGGATCCTATTGTCTGTTCAATGTTTATTGTCTGTTTGTTGTTCATTGGTGCTGATGAAAGTGTTTAAATTTTCCACTTTATAACATTACATGCCATATAATAAAAGTTTATTTAAAAAGGGGTGGCTTCATTTAAGTGGATGCTTCTAGTTTCACTTACCTAAACATCAAGACATCATGGTTTGGAATATTTGGGAGAACAGGGTTCCCAGTTTACAGTACACAGACTTACACACAGGAGACCTTTGACTTCAGTTTGAGAAATAGAATTGGTTTTCTATTCCTATTACATCAAATATATTTTACTTTTACCTGTCTTAGATTGGTGTTGAACCATACAATGTATATTACCAAAAAAAAAAAAAAAATTAAGACTTGCTCATTCCATGTACTGCAAGTATTCTAGGATTGCAGAGGCTGCTGTTCCAGTTATAGGAGCCCTTCCTCTACCTGTTGCAATATCATTCCCCTGTCCCAAGACAGTAATCTGATTCCCAAGTGGATGTAATCAGAAGAGTATCTTATCACAGGGAACTCAGATTATTGGTGAGAAAAAATAGGTGTAGTGAAGATACTGCTGACTTCCAGTTGAATTCTGAAATCCTCTATAGGATTGGCTCAAATTACTTCATTGCCTCACTGAATCCCATGATTTGATTATGATCTCCTGGAACAATATAATTGCCAACGTTAGAAGTGAGACTAGTGTGCTCAGAAGACTCGTTGGAAACCTGGCCCATGACTGTGGAATTTGCTTCTGGGAAGACTGAACCTCGGTGTCTTCAGAATAAAATAAAAACTCAACTTTTTTCAAACCTTATTTTGTTAAGGAAAGGCATACTTGTATAAATTAAATTACCCCCCACCCTTATTAAATGAAGAAAAACAGGCGATTTTCTATTTTCACTTTAATAAACTTGGGTTGCATGCCAGTACCTGTTACGGCTGCAGCCAGATAACCGTGGAAGTTGCAAAATTAATAAGCCCTGTTTTGTTAATTGAAACAAGGCCTAATCTCTGACTGTAATTATTATAGTAAACTTGTGTTTACATTGACAGTAACAACTTTCAGGGAGAATAAAATGACAGACACTTTGCATTCTGTTGGAATGAGATCATTCATTCTGCTACGCAAATTGACCCATGTCATACCCAAAAGAATAGTAATAGAGAGGTAGCTGTGTTAGTCTGATCTTGCTAAAACAAAAGGAAAAACTATGTAGCATTTTAAAGACTAACAAGATGGTTTAATAGGTGATGAAACCTCATCACCTATTTAACAAGATGGTTTAAGTGCTACATTGTTTTCTTTTGGGTATAAGAAAAGGAAAAACTTTCAGTTTAAATCCAGGTTCATTTAGTTGATTATTCAGACATAACAGACCTGTGTTTTACTTTCTGGTTTGGAAATGGACCAGAAGCACTTACGTTATTGGTAAATCTTGTTGATGTTTGTTGTGGAATTGTATGAGAGTAATGACTGAAATAACAGTTCTGCAGTATGACTTGTCAACACTACAACTAACCCATGTGTAACAGATTCTCATGTGAGATTACCTGTTAGCAATATGTCTAACAATGATAGCGGCAATGAAAGCTTCTCTCACTGCTTTTCCAGTGTATCTCTCACCCAGTTAGAAAGTCCTAACTCTGTGGTTTCATTTACAAAAATAACTTGTTGCCTCCCCTTTCTGCCTCCAACTGATAGCGTAGATGAGACAAAGATAATATTGTGTTGGCTGAAGTGAAGTGATAATTGGGCCTAAGAGAATGTAAAACACTTGTCCCCTATGATGTTAAAAAAAACAGCTAGTATGGCACGTCTGAAATATCAGACTAAATAAGCATATGTCGTTGTGTCAAGATTTTATTGGAAAAATGTTGTAGTGACCACATTAATTGCTGTAGTAAATCTAAACTAGACCATCATAACTTCTACATGTGCCTCAGTTACAGAAAAGCTATTTTAGGGATTTGTAGAGAGTTTTTAAAATATTTATTTGAGCTGTTTTTAGGTACAGGTTGGACTTCCATTGTCCGGCACTCTCAGGACCTGAGCGGTCCTGAACCAGGGAGTTTGCCAGACCAGGAGAGGCCAAGGCTCCTCTCTGGGTTGTGGGGTCCCTGCAGCCTGGGCTTCCTTCCCAATTGCTGGCCCCCTGCTGTAGCTCCTGGGGTCAACCTCCTCAGGCTGTGGCTCTCCAGCTGCCGCCAGTCATACTTCTATTGGGGTTCCCAGCCAAGGCCAGGGATTCTCCCCGGCCGCTGCTGGCACCACTGCCACCAGGATTCCTGGCTTGGGATTCATCCCAGCTAGCACCAGCTCTGCTGCCACAGAGGTTCCTGGCTGGGGATTCCCCCTGGCCAGCGCCAGCTTTGCTGGTGCTGGGGCTCCCAGCTAGGGCCAGGGATTCCTCCCAGCCACCACTGGGGCTCCCCAGGGCTGGACTCCCCACCTACCGCAGGACCAGGGCTCCCCAGAACTCCCCTGGACTCCCAGCTGGGCTTGTGCTCCTGGCCTCTGGGGCTCCCTGGTCCAGAAACATCCATGGTCCTTCTGGACTTAAAATAGTGTATTCTTAAAATTGTACATTTAATGTCTGTTATGGACACTTCCTAGATCTAGAGCAGCCCCTGTCCAGAGTGGTTCAGGCTGGCCGCTACAGCCCTGGCCAACGCGGGCAGAGGCTGCTTCATGACAGCCTCCCCCGTTTCCTACCCCTTCCCGCCTGCAGCCTCTATCCATGGGGAGCTCAGACCCCCACAGCTGCAATATCCCTACTGAGTATCACTGTACTGTGTTCTGATTCGTATTACTGTACCAGTTTTATTCACTTTTATCCTCTTTTTATCCTGGCTCTAACTCACTTTGTTCTATGTTCTGTATTTTTTTTTTCTTGCTTTAACATGAACTTGGCTACCCCTCTGAAGATTTTAATTTACCAGGAATAATGGATACTGTATTGGGTAGCTCTTGTCATGAGACCCATGCAGAGTCTGAGATTTAAAGCAGTAAATAAGCAGTGACTATAAATACCCTCAAGCTGTAAATAAACTAAGATTTCCCATTCATCTTTGCCACTGCCTATGGCAAGTGTTTGATTGAATCCCCATAACCTGCCCCCTCCCCCCCAATTTCAAATCTTTTCAGCTGGAAGTCAGAGCCTGGCAGTTTCCTCTGGACATCCTACTATTAATTATAATGGAGAATATCCAGAATATAAACCTGAAACTTTTATTAGCTTTATTAAAACACGAGGCTAAATTCCAGTGAAATGTAATTGATGCTGAGAGTATAACTTACACACCAAGAGATAGGTACACAGGGGTTATAAAGCAACTAAGAGAAGAGTGTTGAAGTGTTTGATGGGGCAGATTATTTTTTACTTCCCCCGTTCTTACTGTTTCTGCCAGCCTTCCTCCTTATATCCCTTTGGCATGTTAGTTATTCACAACACCATTCATGTCCCTATCCTGAAGATTTTGCATTTTAAACAATACAATCTCCTGCAATTAAGATATCCTTGCCTTGAATCCTAGAACAGTACAGCAATATGTGGTCTTCTGGGAATATATTAGACGTGATTGGAGAGAGCATTAGATATGCATTTCCTCACTCATGATCTCTTCCACAGTTAAAGCTGCCTTCTAGTTGCCAGAAACATTTCACAACTCCTGAATAGCATCTCCTCCTAGAACTGCCATCCAAACCTAGTTTGTGCATCTACTTGAAATTGTTTGTTGTCCGATGGGATAAGACTCTTAGCATCTGGAATAATCTCCTTATTATGCTAAGAACAGTCTTTTTGAAGTGCACAAGTTGTACTTAAAATCTAAATTCTTAAGCTATAAAGTTGCATATTAGAAAGGAAACAGAATTTAATATCTAAAAGTAATAAACTATAGATCTAACAATCATGAGATCTTGGTTCTGTATGTAGACCTGCTAATTGACATTGGATATGTAACATAAAAGGTGATCTGCCAGATAAAAACTGAAGATGAATTTCTGTGTGAAATCTTCAGTAATCAGATTGTGGGGATCATTAGCACAGAAAAAAGCTTAAAATAACACTTTTAAAAAAAAGAAGGGACCTATTGTCAGTCAGCTGTTTAAAGACAATGGAATTCTAAATCAGATTAGTTAACTCCAGACTTTCCTAAAACATACCTTCCATTTGATTCTCATATGTCGATGTTAGGTACGTGAACATGTACCCGAGTACACGGTTTACCAATGAGCCTGGGCTCATCAGTTAACTGTCTTGGTTACACGCAGCCCCACTCCCCACTGATACAGAGGCAGCAAGCCTGCTCCACATGCATACCAGCTCCCACTGATCTGTCTCCTTGCCACCCTACCCCATGAGGCCTCCTGTCCCCTGCGCTGCTGCTTCTGATACAGAGGCAGCAGCGTGGGGGAGGAGGGAGAACAGGAGCTGGTGCTGGTGGGGAGCCATCTTAAAAACAGATTACCTAGGAGCACTGGCTCCCACTTCCCCTTCCCTTCTGTGCCCCCTCTTCCCCCTC